CCAAGGCCAGGGCTTTCACACCACCGATGTATGTTTGTGAGGGATTCGTTGCAGTCTGAGTCAGGTTTGAGTCAGTCCATGTGTATCAAGTCTTCCGCTGTAATTGTACTTACTCTGTATTATCTGGTCAGTTCTGGGAATCTCCGCCATACTTGTGACTGTGTTTCACGAGCATGCAACATCTTGGCTTCAAACCTGGCACCCTCATCCACAGCAGCAGGCCACAGCAAATGAGAACAGAGTTAGAGCGTTAAAAAAAACTTGCCCCTCCTCCCCCCCCTCTACCCCCCCCCCCTCTCTCTAAAGCAAAACGCGAATTTCAAATTCCAAACTGCTACCCTGTTTTCTGCATTTATTGTCTTCTTGAACTCCCTTTTTTTCCTTAAGAAATGGAAAAAGAAAGGGCGATGGCCTTGAGGTATCATCGTCAATCTAGCTGGCCCAGCAGGCACTCCTTTTTTCTTTGCAGTTAACTTCAAAAAGGTATTATTCAGGGACGCTGGACCCGGTTTCCAGCAGGTGTTGCTCCCCACCAATAGATGGAGCGGTAAATTTGGAAAGAAAAAAGAAGTAAAAAGTAACTGATTTCATTTATCTAGTGCCATTCGGATTCGAACTCAGGTCTGTATGTCAGCAGTTAGTTGGTACAACTCATGAACTGCTGAAATACAGACCTGAGTTCGAATCCGAATATCTACACCCATGAACTCAGGAGGTCTGTAGTTTTCATTTCTATCTGGTGCTGTGGGTTCTTGAGTTCAACACTTCTTGGGTTTATATATTCTTTTTTACCCCTTTTTGACGAGCGGGTAGCTCCTTCTGTTACTTCATGTGATAGGGTTTGAGTTTTGACCGTTGGACTTATGAACGAATGAAGTGCTGGCGAGCCTCTGCCGCATTGATTTTGACCAAATCGGCGATTTGGGTAATCAACAATATATGGTCTTTGTTTTGATACAAAGAAAAGAAGATGGCTATGTTAGAAGGTGCAAAATTAATTGGAGCGGGCTGTGCAACAATCGCATTAGCTGGAGCCGCTGCCTACAGTTTTCCCCCGAATACAACGTACGGTCATTATAGCTGAATTTAGACCGAAAGATTCACCAAATTCGGCAATGATGACCGTGCGTTGTATTCGGGGGAAGACCGTAGTCCTGCTGGCACCTGTATCAGTATAGGAGCGCTCATCCTGCTGGTCTGGAGTAATAGGTATGTACCGTGCAGGTTGGTCAGGCCTTGTAGACTTCTGAGACAGTGCATGGAATCGAACAAGCAATCTGGGGTTCAAAGGCTAGATGTTTTCTGCACTGAAAACCATGACTCGATGTTCGTAAGTGGAGCCGCACCAGTCATGACAACTGCCTTCGTCTGCACGGTTGCAAGTCCTCATCCCACCCGTGAAAATCACTCGAGACCTCCTGCAGTCAATGATACGCCTTTCGCCATGGACATAGCCCAACAGTCCAACCTCTATGGACACTGCCATTGCCATCTATCGTCTTCCCCCGAATAGAATGTACGGTCATTTTAGCTGTATTTACTATGTGGAGCAATTTCAGTCTAGAGACAGCGATAATGACCACAGTATTCGGGGGAAGACGGTAGTATGATCTCCTAGTCAGTTTCTGTGCTGATGACTGAACAGTTTGGCCGTGGAACCGTTTGCATCACTGTGCTGCGTGTAAATGGTCTTTGCTAATTGACTTATGTCTCGCTGTGGGTGGTTGGTTTGCATGTGTGTGTGTGTGTGTGTGTGTGTGTGTGTGTGTGTGTGTGTGCGCGCGTGCCTACACGCGCCGGGGAAAATGTGGGGTGGTGGGGTTACCTGGGTTCTGATTTGCTTCAACTTCCAGCGGACAAGCTCGTCCGTGCATTGGAGCTTGGCACAATGCTAGCATTGCACAAGACATTGGATGGAGCGATCAAACTTGTCAATAGCTTGCGTTTGCCGGCACTCGCAGAGCGACTGGGTCTGATTGTAGAGGTGAGTCATCCACTCGTTAAAATAAAAGACAATAATCATTGAATAATGAAAGAACGGATTCAGGGAGGGTGGATGGATTCCAGGGGGAAAAAGAAAAAAAAAACTCCAAAGAAGTAACATTAAAAAAAAATCATGTTTGTTTTTTTTTTTTCCTTCGGAATTTTGGGCCCCCACCGAAGTTGCCACCAATTTACTGAATATAACGCCCAGGCGTTATAAACGAATATAACGGCCGGCGGGCGTTATACAACGCCCGGGCGTTATACAACGCCCGGGCGTTATTTTCGGGTGAAGACGGTAGTTCCTGATGATGTGTGTTTCGGTGTCTTTTTCATTCTTTTTATTTGTCACACTTGCTGTTATCGCGGAGTCTGGGAGAAATGGAGCTAGTGGATAAGGCTGAGAGTGGGGGCATGGCGCCCTGATGAGCGCCGTGCAGCATCGCTCAAGACACATTGAGGTGTTGGGTGCTTTTGTGGCAAGCTGTTTTGTAGAAAGCAAGTTCGATGTCTTCTCAGTGAGCAGTGTGGCCTTGGGCACCTTTTCCTCAGATTGCCCTGTCCTGTGCAGTCACAGATTTCCATACTGCCTGCCTATCAACAAGTACTTTTTTTTTCCTGAGATTGCCATCTGATTGAATCAGGATTCGAGCTCATGACCTGTTCATTAACAGTTACATTCTTGTTACCATTCAGCCACACGGGCTGGGTTGGCCGCTGACCACTTGATCTCGTAATTACCTCCTCTTTGCGTTTTTTTTGGTGTGAATGCGTTCAGGAGAGACTGGAGAAGAAGAAGGCAGAGGCGGCGGCTTCCGTCAATCCTCTTGTAGCTGGTGGTTCAACAGCAGGGACACCACCGCACCCATTCACGGGGAATGCCGTGACGGACGACAGGTATCGATTCAGTACGCCAGCAGGCTCGACTCCAAGATCGCGGTCTGGTTTGCCATCACTTTCGTCAGCTCCCAGTCCTGGCCAACATTGGGGAAGAGCTGATGGTGGTGGTGGTCCTCCAGTGGCCACAAAGAGCTCATTAGGTATTCCGTCAAGTCCTGTTTCTGCCCAACATAGGGGAAGAGCTGATGGAGGTGGTGGTCCTCCGTCGGCCACAAGGAGCTCGTTAGGTCCAAGTCACCAAACAGAAGGAACAGCTGTAAACATTGCTCCACAAATAGGTGAACAAGAAACCCCCAACCAGCCTAAAATTCCCAAGGACAACAACATCAGCATTCGCACCAGCAGTGGGAATTCTAACATCAAGGAACCTGGGACGGCCACTGGCGCGTCAGTGAATGCTCACAATTTTCGTAACGATGATACAGCCGCCTCCTCGAAAGCGGAGACAACAACCGGTGATCGAAAGGAAGGGACGGAAGAACGAAACAAAATGTGTGCACAACAGGCAAGCTGTAAAGATGACAGAAGCCAGGAGAATGGTAAGGAGGCGGCATTTGGAAGTACGGCCGCCCCCTCGCTCACAAAACCATCCAATCCTTTTGCGAAACGAGTCAGCACATCATCCTTGACTGCGGCTGAAGAACCAAGCACATCGGGTAGTACGTTGTCGATTTTAGACTCTGTGAAGAAAATGCAGGCTGCTAAGGTGGACGACACAGGTAAGAGGAAGCTTGGTGCTCCCACAGCATCAAACCAGTCGATACCTGAACGTCCTGGGAAAGTGCGCAAGACGAAGCGGCCTTGATAGCCGGCACATGCTGAAACGGTGTGTCAAATGAGGAGGGAGGTTATGACATGGGCATGAATGATGCAGGAGGGAATGGCCAAGTTCATGCATCAAAAAATTTTGAACCACCGGTGCGTCTGAGCCTCTCTCTTCTGATGCTGATTTCCGCCGATTTCTGCCACGCACTATGCTCTGCTGAACCGAGCGCAGGCACAAAGTCACTTCTTTTTGCCTGGCACCGCCAGCCGTTTCCTTTCGGTGGGCCGAGCCCCGAAGAACACGGTTTGTTAACTGCGCGTCAGAACAAAACAGCTGGGAGACGTTCTGGTGGTTTGTCAATTCTTCCACTCCAGCGCAAAGCAAACCATTTTGAATGCATGTCGATCCGAAGAAACAACAGGGCAAGATCTGGATGGTAAGTTTGTACACGAGGATGTGGCACAAGAGCAGACCTACAGACAATAGGTCCACAGACTCCATACTGTATAGTGATTGTCATGGGACTTCAGCAAGATGGCTTGGGTACACAGTGGCATCCCACTCTACTGCCACAGCCCTTCCGTTCCTTTGCTGCTCTCGTGAGGCATTTTGTGCTGCTTGCCCAGATGATGTGATGCGGAACTGTGTGCCAAGGGCTGAGGTCTGTTGGGGGGTAAACGTTAGGATATGTGTACCAAACTGGGAAGAATTCCCTGCAGACATGTCGTACCGTCTTCACCAGGATAGAACACTCTGTCGTATTTGGGGCAACTTTTAGTCTACATACAACGACAATGACAGGCGTTATATTTGGGTGGAGACGGTAGTGTTGGTCAGAATTTCTTGCAGACATATCCTAGTGTGAATACGCCCTGCTATTCGTTGTGTGTGTTTCTCCTTCGCCGCTTGGATCTCTCCTGCTGGAGAGCAGACATGAAGACCAAGCTCAGAGGATCTGGAAGATAATCATATTGCCAAATTGAGATTGCCCCTGATTGATAACAGAATATGAAGGGAAGGGCAAGAATGTAGGTGGAACGGTATCATGGCGTCGTCAAGGATGCTCATTACTAGCCCCTGGCAGAAGCCAGGGCATCCTTTCTCGTCTTGTCACTGCATGCATGGAGCGGTGGAATCTATCATGGCAACGATGCTCGTGAGGAGCGGATAGAAGCAAAGGGATTGTCGTTCGTGGGCTTTATTGCCACATCGAGTAAGGGACTGATCAGCGCATGGAGTGTTCTTTCTTGGCTAGTCCCTGCATGGAGTGGTGGGGCCAATAGAAGCAGCTGGATTGTCTTTCGTGGGCTTTGTCACCACATTGAAGTGTGGGGTAACGGACTTATCGCCGCCTGGGAAGGGGGGGGGGGGGAAGGACGAACCTGTTGCCTCCGTTGCTGGCGAATCGAAGGGTGGAGCAAGGGACTGATCACCGCATGGAGTTTTCTTTCTCGACTTGTCGCTGCATGGAGCGGTGGAGTCTATTGCGGCAGAGGTACCCATGAGGAGCCAATAGAAGCAGCCGGATCGTCTTTCGTGGACTGGTTGCCACATCGAAGGGTGGAGTAAGGGACTTGTTGCCGCATGGGCGGCAGGGTAAGGGCTGAGCTGTGTCTGCATTGTTAAGATGGGTCGTGAAACACTTCTTCGCACCGTGGTAATGCAAAGTCACCAGGACCTCTCATAATGGTAAGGTGCCTTCCGTGATGGCATTTTGAGCTTCAACTGCTTGGTTACAGAAACGAGGGGCAAAATTCAGCTGTTAATATTTCTCTTCGTTTGGCCAGGCATAAAAACTCATATGGGCCTTTGCAGAGCCAGACTTTCAAGCGCAGGAGCGAGGTATCCAAAAATAACCTGAGCTGTGTCGGTAGAGTTTGGCTGTAATGGGCGCAATGCACGCTCTGGGTCGGTAGAGTTTTGCCACCGCCATTGTGCTGGCAGCCAGATCATAGATAGCTTGCCTGCAAAATTGCAGGGCGTGGGATGTGCATGGAGGCAAGGCAGTGCCATCATCGCTTTGTAAGTTTGTACATGTAATGTGCAATTGGACACTTCATTGGACCCCTTTAACCCCATACAACGTAAATGTATTTGACCTGTTGCATGGGGTTCGATAGGGTCCAATGAAGTCTGCAATTGTGCATCTCTGGATGGAGCATGGGGTCCAATGCAAGCGTGCCTCACAGCCGCTTCACATTGACCACTCTGTGGCAGAAAGCTACGGTCGAGATGTTGTGCAGACATGTTGTATGTTGTTCTATTGAACAAGCGGCGAAGCGGCGAAGCGGCGAAGTGGTGAGCGGTAAAGCGGTAAAGCGGTAAAGCGGTGAGAGGACTTGAAAAAAAGAAAAAGGATTCACCTTCTTTGCATTGTCTGTAGGCAGTCAAGCTGGCTGGACTCGAACCCACGACCTATACAGAACGGATCCATGTTCTTCACTTATCTCTCAGATATTCTCTTCGAGATAGTACATCCTATCAGGTATGTGTTTGTACTGCTGGCGGGACTCAAACCCGCAGCCACCTGGAGTGCTGCCACATCTTTAATAAGTGTGTGTCAACCTTTGGCTAGAAAGATGTCATCTCACCTTGCAATCGAAAATCTGATACTCTCTATAACTCTGGTTTACTCCTAGGTAACATTTCCTCTGGGCTGTGAAGCTGCTAAGCCAGATTGGACTTGTGCAGTGTGGAGGGGAGGATTCATCGAGTGCTGTACTCAACAGTGCTGTTGCATGGAATCGTCAACGGCCCTTTGGTTGGTAAGGCACTACAAAGATAATGGCTATTGGTGGAGGATTTCAGCGCACATGCTCGGCAAAAAGGTGATGTCAAGGACTGCGCTCGCTGTGCTAGGGGATGACATTGTTGAATGTGGAGGGGACTTTCCTTACAAAACTCCTGGATGGCATCTCTAACCACCTACAGATCTGAAGGGAAAGAAGCTAAAGAACACAGCTGTCAAAGGACAGACAGTTGTGATCGTTCACCAGGCTTCTGGCAGCTGTAAAGCGGATGCAAGTCGAACATTGGCGGCTCTCCACATAGCCACTGCTATCGTACCCGCATTTGTTGACCATTGACAGCTACGAGCAGAGGTGCTTTCCGCGCACAAAGGTGACAGCTACGAGGTGCTTTCCGTCACTCGCAAACAGCCCGGCGACCATTGACAGCTACGAGCAGAGGTGCTGGCTGATAACTGTCAGCGCAGAGAAGTCGGCTTTGACAGTTGACGACAAAGTTGTCATCGGCGACTACTTGTCTGTTCGCTGCTGTAAGGCCAGAGAAGTCACTGTTGAAATGGCCGTCGACAGAGCTCTCAACATAGGCACGCCCGTCGACACCTATAAGCCCAGAGATATGACCATCGACAGCTGTCGGTGAGCCGAGTTGATGATGTGTTCCAATAGGTATGTGATATCCTCTGAGACGTGAATCGGGAAGTTTGTGCTTTGTTCGTTTTCTTTCTTCTTTTCAGGGTGTAACTGCTGCTATCATACACATGATTGCTGGCAGGTGTAAGGGGATATCATGAGAAGTCACTGTTGGCAGCTGCCAACACACTCAGTTGATGATGTGTTCAAATTGACTCATAATATCCCCTGGGATGTGAGCCAGGTACGTGCTGTTATCTTATGCTTTCTTCTTTCCAAAGGGTAAGCCTCTGGGAGCCTCTGATATTATTGGATTTGATAGGATTTGAACATATGACCTGGGGATAACTGTCATCGACTTCTTCTATTCAGTGTGTACGCGTTCGTTGCTGTGCAGTGTGCACCGGTCAGGCGTAATCAGGCACTTGTTTGCATGCACTACAGGGACAATTTTTTTCTGAGTCCTCAAGGTAGTTTCCAAGAGAGAGGGAGTTAATGCTGACAAGCGTAAATTGGGGAGCTGGGGAGCTCCGTTTACGTGGAGTATGGCAAAGCTGCTGCTACAATGGGTTGTCATGGAGTGGCCTTTTTCTGATGGCAGAGTCAGCTTCGGCAGATGGAGGCATGCCTCTCTCCTTGTGAGTGCTTCACAATGGATAATCAAAGCTTTTGTCTGTAAATTCGAGTGCAAATTTCACGCTACTAAAGCTAGGAGATTGGACTACTGTCTTCACCTCAGTAGAATACCCGGTCATTATCGCTGCAGTGGATCGAAAGTTGCACCACATACGGCGATAATGACCTGGCGTTCTATTCGGGTGAACACGGTAGACAGCGGATGGTATCAGTTTTACTATACAGAAGTGACAAGATTTTGTGCTTGACATCGTCAAAGAAAAGGTTTGATGTGATTCTTGAGCAAACCAACAATCAACTTTTCCTTGAATGGTGCAACATGGCACGACTTCAGTTTCCGTGTTTGAGCTCCGTAAGGAAAACAATGGGCCTCACTCACTGCCTGCCAAAAGTTACAGTTAAAACCTTTTGTGTGTGTGTGTGTGTGTGTGCACGCGCGCAAAACACACACACACACACACACACACACACACACACACACACACACACACACACACACACACAGAGAGAGAGAGAGAGAGAGAGAGAGAGAGAGAGNAGAGAGAGAGAGAGAGAGAGAGAGAGAGAGAGAGAGAGAGAGAGATGGATGGATGGATGGACGGACAGACCGACCAACCGACCAACCGACGGGCCGACTGGCCGACCTCTCCCTCAGAGTGAGTTAAGTTCTCCTGCTGGGTGATCCCACAGACCAGTGCCACGATGCAGGCCCACTAGAAAATCACATGGGGAAGAGAACAGAAAAAAGAAACTTCACTGCAGTGCAACATGGTTTTCCGCCATGCTTTGAAGATTACACTCGAAAAGAAACTAAGTCCAGTCTCTGCTTTCCTCCTGTGGAAGAAGAAAAACAAAATTCTTCTTCACTTCAGTTTCCACTTCTGTTGAGGCAAAATGTAATTCCTCCTCCACGTCAGCTTCTCCTCCTTTGTTTTGTTCAACAGAAATGCAATTTATTAAGAATGCTGCAAACAAGGTCTACTGACTCTACTGTCCCTTACACCATATCTCAAGCTGCTGACCAGGCTTTGACCTGTTCGAGAAGGGTGGCTGTTCAGATTTGGCCCTACTCCCAGGGTAGTTCTGGCGCCTACCGCCGACCCCTACCATAGGCGGTAGGCGTGCCTACCAGTCGGGCCGACCCGTAGGTGGACCCGTCGGCAGTCGGCAGACTGCCTTGAATTTTTGATTTTTTTTTTCTGATTACATGGTCGTGCGCGGCTTGAGGAGAGCAGCCCAAATCTGCAATAAACATTTTTGAGGGTGGTGGGGGCTATAGGGGGCGGTATAGGGGGGTTATAGGGGGTTGTAGGGGGTTAAAGGGGGGGTA